ATTTTTCTAAAAAAATTGTATAAAGATAATAAGTCATTCTCTTTTTTTTTATCAAATTAGTTTTAAATTATTATTTTTTAAGGAAAACATGTTTTAAAAATAAACCCCCTCCCCCCAAAAAAAATATATTTATTTTAACATATAACATAATTTTAAATTTGATGTCACGTAAAACACATTCAAATAAAATTTGGTAGACCTGGTCAATTGAATTTAGTAGTATGTGATATTTCCTCCATGGTATGTAGTTTGAAAACTTTATAATTGAAACAATATTAATCTACCTTTGTTTGGTAGTTGAGTAAATGATGACATATGATGAATTATTAAATATTTTTTTGAGTACCATATGACATTTTTAATGTGTTACTTTTAATTAATAATATGTTAAAAACTTTACGAGTGACATAATGTTAATTAATTTTTGTTAAGTAGCTAAAAAATAATAAATAATTATGATGTGATTTCTCAATTGTTTAACACACCATATCATATGATGTTACATAACTATCAAATAATTTTTGAAAGGCTCAATTAACTTATTTTACAATTTCTCATTTATCAAAAAACCACAGACTAATGTTACGTAATACCTCACAATTGCCTAATAATGTTTTGGGTAAATTATACTCATCTTCTCTAAAATAAAAAATATATATATATATATATAATTAATTTAACAATTTTAACCTAAATATATATTATATATATATTTTATGGAAAGGGTGAAGTTTGCATTTCTTGGCCAATTAAAACGTGACATCGTGATTGCAATTTAAATGTTTCATGGACCTACTCTCACAGTCGCTCTCCTCCCTTTAATTACATGCAAAAAGAAGCCAAATCACCTTTTCTTCACCCACACACCATATGTATATGAGTTCATCACTAATGATCTAAGTTAAAAGGTTTGTTAAAATGAAAAGATAGTTAGATTTTATAAAAAATTATATTCAATGTGAGCTAAAGTTTATTGTTAAAAAATAAATTCAAATTTGTGTTAAATTTGATTTGATAAAATTATTTTTGCCACATCAAACTTTTTTTTATATACTAAAAACTCAATTGCTTTTACTATTTCGACAAACCAAAAGTCATAACTAAAAATTAAAAAAATAAAATAAAAATTATACAAATTATAAAAATTAAAAACACCTTATTCCAAAAGCTAAATTATTCAAAAAATCACAATTTATCTATTTAAAAAAAATCAAAGATAAAAAATGAAAGGAAGATTTATACCGAATAGTGGACCGAGCTAAACCAACACGGAATATGGTGTTGGGCTAAGTCGAACCAACACGAAGTATGGTGTTGGGCCGTGCCAGACCAACATGGAGTTTGGTGTTGGGATGAGCTATCTTGGCCCCAACATGGAACGCGATGTTGGCCGAGCTACATTGGCACAAACTTTGGTTTTGGGCAGGGATATCTTTAAATGTCACGGTTGTAGAAGTTGTGTCAGGGCTATGAGATCGACCGGATTAGGTGTGGCGTAGGACGGACATGGAGAATGGGCAGTGCACTGTGGCCACACTATATGGTCAAGATAACGGTCTGCGCACCATAGTTAACCAGCTTGAGAGAATGCCACCAATGTATTGAATGAGCGTGGCTCTGACTCGAAGGCCAGCATGGCTTAGCTCGGCATTGGAATGTTAAAAGTCAATACCTTTAGTGCAACCCAAGTAATAGCACGGTTAGGTATTCCATGTGGACCAATTGAGATGGATCCGCTATTGGCATGCGTCAATACCTTTTGGTGGTTTCGCCAATACTGTTTGGAAGAATTCTCATACACACGTGTGAGGAATAGAGATGGCAGTACAACCATGTGTCCAACAAAGGACAACAAAGGTAGTGTGCACACAATCTGGGGTTACATGGCCAGCCTAGAAAAAGAGACGCAAGCAAATTCATAAGGGTAAGCAACCTTTATCCACACTCTCTCTACAGTGCTCTATATTCTCTTTTCTTCTTTGGAAAAGCTAACTAGGCCGTCGGAGGGATTTTTCGGCAAACCACTCGCCGGATAGCTCACCCTTGTTTGTTTGTAGTAAGACAAAGCTCCATTGGAGCAAAATGAGATTGGTAGTAAAGAGTACAGAAGGCTACGAATATTTTCGACCGTACAAAAAACATAATACTCATATAAAGCAATGACAGAGAAAAAATTTAGATAATCTATAATAAAATATACAAAATTAAGTTAAATAGCAGTTATGTCAAAATTACAAGTCACGAATATAATTTTTTGCACTATAACAAAGTAAAAAAAATATTTTAACAAAATCATTTTTGACTTCAACTATTAGAGGTAAGCATGGATCGGATTAATTCTGTTTATGAGTAAATCAAAAACAAACCCAATTCCATAAAATTTGAAACCAAACCAAACCAAACTATGGAAATGTTGGAACCAAACTAGACCGAATCACTAAATCATGGTTCAATTCGATTTGGAATCACAATTTTTAAAAATATTGTTATCATTCGTAACTTGATACCAAAATAATGTACACCAACTTAATAAATTGTTTATAATTAGTTCTCCCACTATATAAGAACAAACTAAGAAATGTTACAAACTTATGTATATAAGTATTTGATACATAAAAGATTTGAGTTTTTATTGTATGTAATAAATTATATATATATATATATGTATGTATATATATATCTAGACGATTCAGTTCGATTCAATTCCAATCGAATAGGGATGGCAACCGATTGAATTTTTCAAGTTTTGGCAGCAAATTCTTGTTTTAAAACTTACGCTCCGTTAGTTTGGGTAGAAAAAATTTTATGAAATATATTTTTCGTATCTTCTAATGTTTGGTACAATAAAAAATGAAAGTCAATGAAAAATATTTTTCATGGTCAATAGAAATACAAACTTATTTAGGTAAAAAATATTTTCCACTCTCAAAAGGGAGAAAACTTTTCTGGATTAAAATTTTACTAATGTCACCACCACCTCCACTACACTTCCACCAAACATTAGTAAAAAAAATTAAGAAAATTTTCAGAAATAAAAAATTTGTAAAAAATATTTTTTACCTAAATAAATGGAACATTAATTATTTTAATGATACAATTGCATACTTTAATATAAACTTGACACTTTTGACCTACTATATTTTACCATATCCAATTAATATTCTCTCAAATCATTTATATTAAAATTGAATTAGAATAAATACAATTGAGTGGAAGAATTTTGTCATCCTTATAACTGAATTTATAATTATAAAACACCGGGCCAAACAGTAAAATATGATTCACAACAAAGACCAAAAACCAAACCAATTCACACTGTTTAATCCGGATGGAATTGATTTATAATTTTTTCAATTTATTCGTTCACTCTATTAATTATTAGAATTGCTACGATAATCTATCTTAAAAAGTAAGTTGAAAGTTAATTTTTTTTAAAAATATGCGCACACCAAAAAAAGAAGGAAAAGTACTGTGATAAAAAAAGAAAAAAAAATCAAAAAGTTATCTGTATTAGGGCTGAGCAAAAAATCTGTAAAATCCGTAATTCGATTCAGTTCAGTCTAATTTGATAGGTTTGGATTGGTTTTTTGAATCTGTGGTTCAGTTCCGGGTTAAAGAATTAAAAATCCGTAGTCCACAGATTAGTTCCGGATTGAACCCCACCGGTTCCGGATTGAAACCATTCCAGACCGTATATAAATAGTCTATTTTTTATTATACATCCTCCACATAGTATCTTCTATTATTCTATATAAAACATAAACTCAAGCCTAAACCCAGTATAATATCTTCTTTTATTACTTTTATTTGTTAATTTTTAGTTTTAATTTGTAATGGTCTAAATATTTATGGTGAAACCAATTTTCTTATGATTGTTTAAATTCTAGAATATTATGTCGCTATTATAGAAAAACATGTTGTTATTATGGAACTAATATAGTGCTATGTTTATATTTTTATAAAATTAAAGTGTTATATATATATATATTTGTTATTTAATTATGTAAATCCGTGATTCTAAACCGATCCAATTCGTATTTAAATAAATTAATTTGGATTAATTTCTAAATTTAAACGGATTAAATTAATTCTGATTTTTTAAAAACTATGAATAATAAAAATTAATTCTGATTTTATTCCAATTCAATTCAATTCGAACCATCCTCACCGCTCATCCGTATTGCCAAAATAGGCCGGGTGCTAAATTCCAAAATTTCAAATTGTTTTCTTGCAAGAAAGAGAGAGAGAGAGAGCATCTTGCCGAGAATTTTGACGTTTCTAAAAATTGGCAATGACTGCTTTGGTTGTTAGCTAGAGAAAAATATAGTACAGTATGGTCATGTTTGATTCACAAGATTAATAGTGAAGTATTAATAATCCTATTAAATTAGTGTGGTATTCACTATCCAATTGGATTAATATTACTAATAATCCTACAAATTTGTTGGATTAATTATCCATTGGATTAATAATCCTAAATCAAAATGTTAAAACAAACATAGGATAATTGGACCCACGGATTAATAATCTCAATCCCATGCTCTAATCCACTCAATCAAACATGCTCTATATATATACATATATATCCTCACCGCTCATCCGTATTGCCAAAATAGGCCGGGTGCTAAATTCCAAAATTTCAAATTGTTTTCTTGCAAGAAAGAGAGAGAGAGAGAGCATCTTGCCGAGAATTTTGACGTTTCTAAAAATTGGCAATGACTGCTTTGGTTGTTAGCTAGAGAAAAATACAGTACAGTATATATATACATATATATTCTTTAGTGTATAGTAGTATTCAAATCCCAGCCTTTCCAGCAATACCCAGTTGCTGATTTCTGCATTTTTTTTGGCCTTTTCCTCCATCTTCATTGGATTATTCAAGCTGTCTCCATCTTAAGGTATCTCTCTCTACTTTTTTTTTTCTTTTCTTTTCTTTTCTTTTCATGTCAAGAGGTTTATTTATATACATATACACATAGATACATGTGTATCTATATTGACAGTGAAATTAGAGTAACAAGCAGTCTCCTTTTTGTCCTGTTCTCTCTCTCTCTGATTTATTTTATACAGAGTGACATTCCCCAATTTTGTCTCTAATCTAGGGGTCCCCTCGTTCTTTCAATGAACTTAGATTTCTGGGTTCGTATCAAAATTGCATCTGAAGCTCTACCCAGATCAAACCAAGCCTTTCCAGGAGGTTTTTGGAGCATTTCTGAGATGGGTCTTTCAGCTCATCTCTGATTGATTGAGGTATGTGTCTCTTCCCTTTGGTTAACTCTCTGTGATTGTTCTGTTTTCTCCATTATCTGAGCCCCTTTTCAATTGTTTGTAGAAGTGTGCACCAACTGTTTGTGGATAAACCTGAGAGAGGAATAGAATTGGGGAATCTATAGCTCTTTCTTTTTTGTGTCAGTATGAGGGATTTTCCTTCTTGTTTTGGTGAAAATGGGGTTCAAGTTGCTGATTTCTCATCATCAAATAGTAGCAACAAAACTGCTCAGAATTTGGTTTCTTGTGTCTATCAATGTCGAATCCGTGGACGTTCTTGCTCGATTACTGTTTCGTGGAGTAAGAATTTGATGGGTCAAGGCCTTAGTGTTGGAATTGATGATAACACCAGTCAATGCCTCTGCAAAGTTGATGTAAAACCCTGGTTGTTCTCGAAGAAGAAAGGATCAAAAACTTTGGAAGCAAATTATAGTAAAATTGATATCTATTGGGACCTTTCCTCGGCTAAATTTGGATCTGGGCCTGAGCCGTCAGAGGGATTCTACGTGGGAGTAGTCTCCAATCGACAAATGATTCTCCTTCTTGGGGACATGAGAAAAGAAGCTTTCAAGAAAACCGGTGCAACCCTTGTTCCCTCCAATGCTGTTTTCATTGGCAAGAGAGAGCACATCTTTGGTAAGAAGATATTCGGTACGAAGGCTCAATTTTGCGATAATGGCCAACTCCATGACCTCAGGATTGAATGCGACACCAGTAATGCCAATGACCCGTGCCTCACGATCCGCATAGACAGTAAGACTGTGATGCAGGTGAAGCGGCTCCAGTGGAAGTTCCGGGGTAACGATTCCATCTTGGTTGATGGCCTTGCAGTAGAAGTATTTTGGGATGTTCATAACTGGCTCTTTGGTACGTCACTTGGAAATGCTGTTTTTATGTTCAAGACCAGCCTTTCAGAAGAGAAGTTGTGGGCCAGCCAACCCCTCTCAAATCCACATACATTGCCTTGGTCTTGGTCGCACAGATTCGAAGATTCTCAATCACAATGTTTCTCGCTTATTTTGTATGCTTGGAAAAATGAATAGAGAACTCATGGATTCTTCATTAAGTGCTAACAATACTTTTTAGTGAGTTGTGATTTTTGTTAATTATGTGATTGGATTATACTTTATTATAAATCAGTCAATTTGTTTTTTCTTATATATTTTCCTCTTAAGTAACTCGAGCAATTGAAGAGATTAGAGATGATTTTGTTGTTCTTAGTTGTATATCCTCTATTTAAGTCTTTTGCTACCTTAATTGCTTAATATATTTAGAATTCTATGCTAAAATTGGATTGCTCATTAGTCTAAGTCATCTGATTCTCTTTCTGGTTGCTCTTGGGCTTACTTTACACAAATGTGATGTATTAAGAATTTTAGATGCCATTACTCTCTCAGATCCCAGCTCATGTGTGGGCATGCTACCCTAACTGTCCGTTAAAGTTTGAGATGGATGCCACTGTCAATTTATTTTTGCTGAATAATCACTTGCTCTTGTTTATCTTGCAGGAGCTCAAGTTATTCAGCTGATGGAAAGCATAATGACATTGAGGTACATGCTCATCATTCACAAAGGGTGTCCAGTACCAGATACTCCTTGGGATGGACTATGTTGCATGCATACCAAATTCTCAATAAGTAAAGAACCCATTTTAAGCATGTAAAATCTATGTATTTAAGTATTAGATTCTACTTAGTTTTAATTCCATACATATCTAACTTATTAGATGTACTGAGGCCTATGAATAGTGACATGTTTACCAACTTTAAGCCATTGGCTTAGGCGCATTTGATGCCTTTCTACCATATCATCACAATATAACTCCATTCTTACGAACCCTAGATTTTGAGTTTCCCTAATTAAAGTTCTGTATTTGTTGTATGTGAACTTTTGGTTTTTTCCATTTCATAATTTAAGCCCTGGCCTGTGCACATTTGATGCACCTTGACAATGTTGTTAACGTAAATTTGCACAACAAAAAAACTCTGTTTTTGAATTCGACTTATCTAACTTCTTACCTGTGTTAGGCTGGATGGTAACCCAAATCTATTTTATGGAATGATGCATCGTTAATAATCAAGTTTGTATCATACACACTTATTTATTGAACAATACAAGCTTAGTTTATGATCACATGGAGCCATGTTGGTGACTCTAATGTGGCTGATGATGCTGCACCTTTTCCTTCTGTGTCTTAGCTAGGTTTTGGGGATTTCCTTGTTTAAAAATTTTGAGGAAGAGACTAATATCTTTTGTCTTTTAAGTTCCACCATTTCTTCATTTAATAAATTACATTTTTCCTTTTTAGTTATTTAGTTTGCTCATAGACTGTGAAGGAAGAAAAGTTTACAACATTTTGAATGTGGAAAATTGTGAGAGGAAGTAAAAGCAGTGTCTCGAAGCTAGTAGTGTAAGCTAACATCTTTGAATGATTTTGAATTTCATTTAATTTTCACAAGACATGATGTCAAGATGACACAACCGGAGTATTGTTCTCATCAGGGAAGACAGAATGAATTCTTTACCTAGTGGGATTGCTATTATTGCTTGGAAACAGGTACGAGATACAGTGACAACATGATATGAATATGCTATTAGGGTGGGCTGGTTGGCTGCTAAGCCTTGTTAAGTAGATGATTGTAATTATGATTTCAAGTCAAGTGAACTTGTTGAGGGTGGCAGAAGGGAAGTACGGGAGTGTTAGGGACCTTAGTGTTAGGTGAAAATTAAGCAGGGTTAGCAAATTTCATGGAATTATGGATTTGTGAATTATGTTAGTGTTTTAAACGGTTGTTTGGCTGTTTAGTAGGCCTTTGCTTGGAGATGTTGGATGCATTTTGTGATTCGCTATTCCAGTCCCCGGAGGATAGAGAGGATGTTTTCTGGTGAAACACCTGGAAAGTTTGGGGTGAGAACATTTTATGAGTTGGTTTGGTGCAAAGGAAAGGACCAACTTTTATTAGAAGGGTGTCTAGATAATTAGATTGCCATTCAAGATTACTATTTGATAGGACATCAGAGAAAATATTGACCGTTGATAATATACCACGTTGAGGAAAAATGTTTTATAATTGGTTTGTAAGATGTACAAGGAGCAGATCTAACTGTTAGTCAATAGTTTGCTGCATTTTTGGTTGTTTGAGAGCTATGGATTGTCACTGTAAGGAGTGCTTATTGGGGTTGGGGATTATGCTAGTAAGAGAATTAGGATGATTTTTCTATAGCAACACCCTTTTGCCCTTCAGTTTTGTGTGAACAGAGCAAAGCAGGAAATCATTTGACATTGGAAATGTGTTTGATTAAGTCATTTAATTTGAGCGTCTGTGTCATTGGCTCCTCAGAAAATCCTCTTTTTCTTTACCATTTGTTGATTTCTTATAAAACCCGAGTCTTGAGATTTCCACTGATTTGCCTTGCACATATTTTGGGTGCACTTGGGTGGATTGATTTGATACAACCTAGGGGGGCGAGGGGTGGAAAGACTGAGGAAATTGATAATCACTTTTTTAATTATAGTTGCTCATTTTGTCGGAAATCTTATTAAGTGAAGTTTATTGCTGGTGCAACTTTTCTCAAGTTGAAAGTTGATAGTTAGAAAGTAGAAACTAAAAAGCACCCCTCCCTCAAATTTTAAATAATCAGTTTTTTTCATCTTATTTAAATTATTCTGTCTCATAAGCTATAAGCAGACGTTACACCTAAACACATTGGAGAAAAAATAGATACATTCGTGTGTGTATATATATATAACAGGGAATCAAACAGCTTTGTTCACTTCTTATAGAGTTCTCCAGGATTTCTGACCAGACAATAATCCAAGTAACATACCAGAGACCAGTACAACTGGAGAAATCACAAAAGTTTGGTTGAAAGTTTAGGTCTGCCAAAACCATCTACTTCTAGCAGAGAAGTCAGCTTTTGGAGTTGGCCAAACACCCTTTACAGTTAAGTTGTATTCTTTTTCTTTCCTCTCTCACTCTGAATTTATGCGGCTATGTAGAAATCTAATTCACTGTGGTTGACTATGCCTCTGTTGAGTTCCTTTAAATTTCTGCATTTGAATTATGTTGCTTAGAAAACATAAAGATAAAATAAGAACCACATAAAATGATGTCATTGATTCACTCAGCAGTGTGGAAGTACTTAGTTCATACAACAATTTGTACTGGATATGAAATGTGATAATTTTGGAACTAGGTATTGAACTTGTTAATTACACTGGTGCCATTCTCAGGTCAGTATATCCCTCTATGCTCATCATGAAATGTATTTCCCCGTTGCGTGTGTTTCAATCATTGTGGAAACCTGTGTCTTCGAGCATGGTTTGCATGGTGATTTTGAATAATTCTACCTTCTTGCAGGTTATGTGTTGGTAAAAATTAAGGTAATTGAAGAGCCTCTTCAAATACAATAGGTATGTTTGTTGTAGTTGTTGGGGTGCTTAGAAATATATATATATATATATATATTTAGTTTATTTTGCAAGTCTGTATGTGTCTTGCAGTTTTTGCTTAGTTCTTATGACTAAAAAATGACTTAATTAAGGTTGAAATTATTCAAAAGGTAAGGAAGGGTTATTTTTAGCTTTTTTCTATGAATTATTGACTTTCAACTTAATAAAAAGGTATTTGAAGAGCTTTTTTAAATATGATAGCTATGTTTGTTGCGGATTTTGCAATAGTTTTCTGGGGTGTGTATCTTTGTGCCTGGCAGGTTTTGCTTATATCTTCCGACTAAAAAATGACTTTAATAAGTTGAAATTATTTGATTGGTAAATTACATTGCTAGGCTCTCTAGTTTAAGTGAAATTTTACTTTAATACATCATCTGGCACATCCTTGCACATGGATGAAAAACATTATGTTGCAAGCAACATTGTATACTTTTTGATCCATTCTCTGGCATTAAAATCCTCTCTCATCATGTGACAGTCACCTGGTGATGAAGACTTGGGAAGTGTATACTTTCATTGAACCTTGCCCTAGTACTAAACAATTAGGTTTTTTTTAAAAAGAAATTAAATGCAGTTACTAATTTATGATCTGATATGTATAGAATGAAAGCTTCATTGTGATTTTACGATAATTTTTATGAATGTCTTTTATGTGTTCTTTGTTTTTTGGCTTAATTCTTCTTTTGATGATCACAACCTCCGATCAAAAAATATATCCTCTCTTCAACAAATTTAATATTTAGCATAACAGTCTTAGGGGAGTTACGGGCTAGTCCTTTAAACTCGATTTAATTTTCATGAGGTCCTGAATCAAAATAATTTTGCACATCTTTCTATTTTACCCTTGACATTCAACCCACGTGTAGAAATCACTCAATCATTCCACACATACTCTCTCTCTCTCAACCGACCACCAAAGACCACTTCTGACCTTTGAAAATATTTTTTTTTTGGCCATTTTCTATTTCCACCATGTCAATACCGCCATGCTGGCAATAAGAGAAAATGAGAAGAATAAGGATGAAGAAAATAAAGGGCGGGGATAATGAGTCCTTATTAGAAAATAATTCTTTACATTTGCAAATCAACATAAAGATTCAAAGACAAATCCACTAAAAAAAATTATGATTCACACATTCAATAATAAATTTATCACTATATGTTTGTTAAAAATTAAAAAAAGGAAATCTTGTCTTCATAATCACAAGTCGACATAAGATTCAAAGACATAGTTAGTGATAAATTTATCAATGATAGACACATTCAATGATAAATTTATCACTGACTGTTTGTTAAAAAATTACAAAAAGAAAATCTCATCATTATCGTCACAAATTAACACAAGATTCAAAAACATATTCAATAATAAATTTAGTAGTGATAAACACATTCATTGATAAATTTCTCACTAGTTGTTTGTTAAAAAATTACAAAAAAAAAAATAAAAAATCTCGTCATCATCGTCACAAATCAACACAAGATTCAAAAAAATATATTAGTGATACATTTATCACTGATACAACAGATTTGGTTTAAGAGAAATAAAAAGAAAGAGAGGGAGTGAGTGAGGAAGAGAGAGGTGATAAATATAACATGAACAAAAATCAGTGATAAATTTATCATTGTATTAATATCAAAATTCCAGCAGCAACAGTCCATAACATATTAAACAAATTAGTGATAAGTGATAAATTTCATCAAATTAGTTCAACATGTTTTACAAATGTAAATCTTCACCAATACAATGTAGAAAGAGTCTCGATCTCATCAGCAACTATGTAAAGTACCAAATTAGTGCTGGAGATGGTAAATCGGCATTGAAAACAACTAGATTTGAAGCCATTAGTGAAGTTCGACGTTGAAGATGGTGGATCAATGATTGAAGAAGAACGACGATGATGGCAGCTGGAGGATGGAGGAAGAGCAACGGTAATGGCAAAGAAGAAGGAAGACGACAATGTTAAGTGTAATAACCCCTATCCGTAATTAGCCACTAATCCGTATTTACTGATGTTAATGAGAGGATTAAAATAAATTATGTGTTTATTCTGCACTTTGTATGATTTTGGCTTTCTATCTGTTACTTATAGAAATATCTGTTTGGAATTCCACTTTATTATGTAAATTGAAAGCCTTATCGGCATCCGAAAACAAAATTGACTACACTGATATGTTATTTGGAATTTTTAGAACCTTATGGCAAATTTTATTAAAAATTGATTCAGTCTGATTCGTTAAATTGCGTTTGGCAAACCTTATGTTCTAATTAGTGTATTTTAGCACCATAGCTACATATGTAACCCATAAGCCCATTTTTGAGCTCATTTTCTTTTATCTCTTGAGTGGAAAAATCTGGTGAAACATTTTAGAGAGAGAGGGAGCACAATTCT